GAAGCGGAAGTCTTCCTCGAGATTCGACGTTTGAAGCGGTTCAAGACTGCCGGCTCAGACGGACTTCCTCCGGAACAGTTCCAGTACGGCGGAATGGTGATCATTAACCAGCTGACCTCGTTGTTCGCAAAAGTTTGGCATGAAGAGAAAGTGTCATCCTTTGGGGGTGAATCGGTTATTGTCCCGGTTTTCAAAAAAGGCGCTTGCACTTCATGTGTAAATCATCGCGGATTAGTCTTAGTTCGGTTGCCTGCAAGCTATTGGCATCCATTTTGCTTTGTAGACTATCCCCAATATGTGAATCATCCTAGCGTGAAGAACAAATCGGTTTCCGTCCAGGCTGCGGATACGTGGATCAAATCTTCGCGCTCTGCCAACTCCTCGAATATCGCCAAATTTATCCCAGGTCCACTGTCGTTGCATTCCTAGACATACGTGCTGCTTTTGACTCCGTTGATCGACCTGCTTTATGGCGTTGCTTGCCAAAGAACGGGGTGCCAGAGAAATATACCACCATCTTACGAGCACTTTACCTTCACACATCCGGCAGAGTGATGGTCTATGGCAAACTTTTTCTCGCAATTCGCTCTCAATAGCGGTGTGCGACAGGGCTGGCCTATGTCCCCAGCCCTCTTCAACTTCGCAATCGAAGACGTTCTGTCGAGTGCTCTAGAAGGTTTCCAACATTGTGACTTAGAGCTTCTACCGGGTGAACGCGCGACTGACTTAGATTATGCTGATGATATCGCCTTGCTTGGTGACGATCCTCAGGGTCGTTTGGCGGTTGAAGCATCTAAGTATGGCATGAGCTTCGCCCCATCGAAGGGTAAAGTACTGATCAAGGATTGGCTTCACCTGCTCCCGTGCTCACTCACGAAGGTGCACAACTTGAAGAGACCGACATTTTCATCTACCTTGGGAGCTGGGTTTCTGCTGACGGCACTAACAGCAAAGATGTTCCTCTTCGCATCGCTAAAACCCGATCAGCGTTTATCAATCTGAGGCACTTGTGGAATCGTCGGGACGTCTCATTCTCGCTAAAGGGCTGCGTTTACAGCGCATCTGTTCGCTCAGCGTTGTATGAGAGCGAGTCCTGGCCGATTCGCGTGGAAGACATGCGTCGTCTTTCTGCCCTGGATAACGGTTGCTTCAGGAGGATCACTCGTGTTTGGTGGCAACATCGTGTTAACAGTAATGATGTTTGACGTCACACCTTGGGGAATGTGAGTATTCCCTTTAACAAACTGGTTTTGCTGTGCCAGTTGAGATGGCTCGGTCACGTCCTACGCATGGCATCTGAGCGTCTACCGCATCGCGCTCTATTCGCTCCTCAAGGACCTGGTTGAAAGCGACCGCGTGGTTGTCAGCATTCCACTTGGCAACAGCGCATAATATCGCTGACGTCATGTCTAGCCACTGTTGGACCCGTACGTGTTTCAGGATGGGGACTCAAAGATGTGGAGTGCCAATAGCTTCACACGCTTGAAGACATGGCCCGCAACCGGAATCGGTGGAAGAATGGTGTACAGATTTGTGTTGATTCACATGTTTAATTGTTCAAAGAATGAAAATGATAAAAAAGAGAAAAATCGGCTTGTGAAAAATGGTTTTTTTCTACTTTTTGTCAAAAGGTTCCTTTCTTCCTGCGGCACAGTAGCGGAAGTGTGTTGCTCACCTTCAAGTACTATGCCACGATGATTATGACGCAGTGACTTCCCCTCATTTGCTAATCGCCATGGTTTTGTTGGCTCTATGTCTAGTTACTAGACTGCTAAGATGACCTACATACATACATATGAGTGAACTATGTCAGGACAGCAAGACAGTCACAGATGCATGACTGCGAATGATCGAGGCATGTGGTCCCAAGATGTTATGATGTGCTTGCGAGTAAAGTGATAAAAGGGGCCTGTGCAAGTTGCCACTGAACTACGGGTTGACAGGTGGCCGCTTTGGGTAAGAGTGGAATGTCTTGCGCGGCACTCTGCTGAGAGGGCTAATGCCGAAATACGACTTCGGCATTCCTGTTACGAGTGGTGTATGCAGCGGAAGATCTGTGTACCCTAAGCCGAACGCAGTAGCCATACACTCCAGCCCAAAGTAAAGGTGAAGCATTTGAGGGATAAACGGTATCTCTAGGTGATTAATGTGTAGGCGATTGCGATGACGTCTGTTAGAGGAGCCATAAAAATGCAGGTGTTTGTGTAGCCGTACATAACTGCAGACTTTTGTCTTGTTATGGTGGTTCACTGATGTTTGTTTTAACGCATCATTTCGCTGTCCATATTGGCTATTTGGAGTCATGTTTTTGACATCAGATCGTAACGATGCTCTGACAACATCACTCTCATTTCATGTTCTTTGTGTGTAGTTGATTCGTTCCTCATTTGGTCTGTTCTTATTGACTATAATTGTCCGCACACTTTCTGTACTATGGTAAGCTTTCACATTTTTGCGTTATACTACATAACCAAGTGGTTTCCTTATGTAAAAGAACCCTTGAAGCTTTGTCCCTGGTCATTGGTGTTCGCACAACCGTTAGTGGGCGGCAGCAGTCGCGACGGGTCCCGACACAACATTTCTGGCGACGGGAAGTTGGCGAACCAAGACAATTTCTTTTGAGCATACTGTCATCCATTTTCGAGTTATGCTCCTAACGAAGGAAACTGATTTGCACTTATTGCAAACTTTTATCTCAGATGCCTCTGCAATCAGCTGACTGAATTTTTTGACGAACTCGAGCCAGGCGACTTCCGGGGGTTCTTCTTCGAGGAACGATATTGCTCTCATCTATGACAGCTCCCAGATGTGCCAAGCTGCGCTGGACAGATTGGCACTGGCGGTCAGCCGCTTCGGGCTTTGCTTTGCACCTATCGAAATGCAAAGCCTTCCTCTAAGATTGGCAGGGATCGCCTCCTTCGCTGATCCTTGGTGGGGATCAGCTAGAAGTCGTTCAAAAATTCAACTACCTGGGAAGCTGTATCAGCGCCCGTGGGATTGAAGATGAGCTCACGAACCGTATAGCAAAAGCTCGAAGTGCTTTTCGTTTGGAGCCTTCTCGGTTTCGCATTTCTGCCATTCAATTTGGTGTCGTTAACCGATCCAGTGGGTTGGTTAGCGTCCTGTACTTTTACAGCTTTGAGAGCGGCGCACATCGGTCAGGCGAGCGTGGTGGTTGCAAGGTCAAATGAGCGGTCGGCGTGGTCGCGCGGTCCGTGTGACGGGTTACGCAGGCGCATTGGCTGACAAGGTCACAAGGAATGGCGAGTGACTGGAACCTGAACAGAGCGCTGCACACAGATTGACAGATCAGAAATTCTTTCACAGATGTGTTGAGGAACACTGGATAGGAATAAGCTTGGGCTTTTCGGGCTGCCTCAAGAATTCTGTATCGAATAGTGTCACACAGAAAGGCAATCGGCTCAATGTGATTGAATTAAACGCTTGCGCTTAATCACGGATGCCAGTGAAAACGGTTAGTGATGGCGCAGCCTCTAATCGTAGAAGATATTTCCACGTATGATAGAGCAATGTCTACAGCTGGTAAACCCGGTTCGAATGAGTGTACAGTGGCAACGCTGCGAGAAGATGGAGAGAGGATAGTGGGGAATAATCCAAATGAACCAGGAGCACGCACGTCACGCGTGTGTGGGGATGACCTTGCCAATTGTAAAGGGGATGATAAGGCTGAAAAAGCGTAATGCTAAGAAGACGAGAAGGCTTGAGCAGTAGCGCCAAAACCTCTATCCACCGTTGATTACACTCCACGACTAGAGCACAGAGAAATGGTTTGAGACGTGTCCGTACTATCATTGTTATGTTACAGCCCAGAAGTCGACAAATGCACTCAGTAGCTATTTACCATAACACAGGTTCGTTTAGGGGTGGAGTAGTATAAATGATAACGGGAGCCATAAAGTTGACATTGCCGTACAAACGGAATCATTGAAATTGAATTTCTCCTTTAACTGGCTTAGCACTTCACACAACCAAAAAATCATGTACAAAGCCAAGTTGTTTGTATTCTTCAGTTTCTCACCAACAATGTGTCGAAAAGGATGGATAGGTTTTGGCTCTGTTGGTAAGCCGTACCTTAACCCACGACCGGTTTCGAAATGCTTTGGACTCATCAGGTAGAGATAGCTTGAGTTGGGAGAGAAAGTCGTGACCAAATAGTTAACTACTGATGTCTTGATCGCCAGAGCACTGAGATCGGTGAGCAACGCTTGACGCAAAGGTTATGAATCTAACGTTTAGCTTTGGAGTACTCGCCGTGTGCTTGAATTGTAACAGGCATTCGCTGTTGGGGCCTCAACTTAGATACGCCCTTAGTGATCGGAAAGACCGAGGTATATTTCAAACTAAGTCGAGGTCACAATAGCGATTGTGTATTGCAAGCCAACCAAACTGTGTGGATTGCAATATCTAACATTGAACCTTGTCGAAAAGCACAAGCAATGAACCGATGAAACATAACTTGCATAGAGTTGGATAAAAGGGAGCTGTTATCGCAGTAGTGGCATTATTATTGCCAACATCAGTAGTAACAATTCTATTCTCCCCATCAGATAATTGACCAGCTTTTAACTTTATTACCCTTGACGTGCTAATGCCATCGATAGCTAAGTCGTCGCTTTACACTTTGAATCTCTTATGAGAATATACCCCACGAAAGGAAAACAAAAACCGTGTAAGGAACTTTTTACCAAAGTGATATTGAGCTAAAAGGTTCACCGTGACTCGGGACAATTCAATTCTATTTCTGAGTCCCGTTTGTACGTTCGCGAATCATCCATAAGAGACAACAGCGCTTCACCGTGCATGATAATAATAGCCAACAAGGAATACTAATTCGATGAGAATGGATAGTAGTCGATTAGGAGAACAAATGGCTAACTTACTCGGTCTCCACAAGTTCGTTCAGCATGTCTTCTCTGGCACTACGCAAACCATCCACCTTGCCTTGCAGTTCGACGACCTCAGTTTCCTTCTCTCGCAGCGCCCTTACAAAATCCGTTTCAGCCAGCCGGTTTTCATTGCTTAAATTTTCTCCAGCACACTTTTCTTTCGCAATCAGAACATTTAGCCGCGTGGTATCGTTCTGAAGATGCTTTAGTTCCCGTTGCAACTCCGCTTTCTCTCTCTCCTGGATGGCAATTTCGTCTGCAGCAAAAAGCAGTGGATCGATGTAAGGCTTAGAAGCGATTGGAATGCGCTGCTCGAAAGCGTCGCATTATACTGATGGTTGATAATTTATAGGCTGGATACACATCAAAAGCTTGATTGTGGGTAATTTCGTGATGTGTTCTATGCCAACTAAGGTCAGAAAATTGCTAGTTGGTGGACACCTGCCGTTGTGCCTTGTCAAGGAGTCGCTAGACTTGAATATACTCAAAGCAGAATTCTTTCACCAAAATTTTATAGTAACAAAAAGCATTACCGGTGACGTATCGAACTGCACTACCCCTAGTTTACATGTCTGCTGTTTTGTTATACATATTAAGAAGCAACTTGTTGTGAATGCCTCATACCGATAGAGTAAACCAAAGGGTTAACGAAAATGGACATTGCTTACTGTCAATTCGAAGCTTTTTCTGAGCCAAAATGGTCAGTTGTTTTTGTAGACGCTCAGCTGTCTTTGTTAGATTATCCTTATCGTTCACATATTTGACCAATTCACTCTGCTCCTTAAGCCATTGTTGTTCTAGTTCACCAATCTCTTCTTGCTTTGTTTGAACTGTTTTAGTCAAAGTGTTAATCATCACTTCCAGTGGTCCGAGCTCTTGACCCTGATGAGACCAAAAAAGAACAATGACGAGTTAATTTGGAGTTGCTAGCAGGTTTGACGGGAGGTTAAAGCTGTTAATTTACGAAAAGGATGGTCTTGATCTCCTTAAGAAGCAGAAAGTATGCACAGTGTGAGGTTTAAACCCAGTGGGTTTTCTCAAAAAGCTAGAAGCAGCAATACTGTGTGGCGTCATTTAGTCTGGTTTGTTCATTAAACACATAAGTGAACTGGTTGCATCGGTTAAGCCGGACGACAAGTGTGTCTGCATGTTACTAATGAGGGGGTCTTTTTAGCACGAATGATATACATTGGTATGAGATTCAGTGGGCACAACCTGGAAGCCATAAATGAGGTTGTTAACTACCCAACTGGGATGTAATGTTTTATCTTACCTTCCATATGACATCTGATCTACGATATTCCAGGACACAGTTCACAACCGCAACAACTTGTCGTTGAATTGTGACAGATTAGTAGCTCAGCTTCCCAATGGGGCTGACTGGGGTTGCTTATGGCGCAGGGCAATAAAACCGAAAAGCCGAAGCAATTGTATGACTGCTACTTGTTTCCGTGTGCTGTTGGCATTTTCCTCATAAATTCAGGTCCTGCATTTCGTCCCACTTCACCTAGCATCTAGTGTGTATAGCCATAGTCGTTCTCGCTGACGTACCGTTTCATAGCGCGGATGCGCCAACAAAAATGCTGCAACATCGCCGTTCAGGATGAAGATGATCGGCGGCTCAGAGTAAGCCCCGTTAAAACCGAATCATTGGCCGTTTCTGTACAATGTTCCACGGAGGTTTCCAAAGATAGTATGTTTGATAACGGCTAGTAGCATGAGTGAATGTTTTTCATGGGCTATACTCTGTCAAAGAGAACAAATTGCATGGTGCAGTACAGTAGCAACGAAGGGAGAGCAATAAGATCAGTCATCGTCTCAGCCCCACTGGTTCCGGTTTGGTTCGAACCCCATAGATAGTAGGAGCTGGCATGTCAATTTCTGCCAGAGGCAATGTTGACGCAGAAAAAGAGAAGTAGTTGCTCCGCGCTGGGTTTGGCCCAAGGGTTAGTTCGATAGACTTGGGGATAAATCAGTTTGCTTAGTAAATGTATCTCAATCCAGAGTTTTATGCTCGCGGAACTAACGCACCGGTCTTCAACAACTCGGCCGGTGGCCGAGTGGTATGCGCGTCTGGTTTCCAACCATAAGGTCCCCGCTTCAAATCCGCGTAGGGGCGGGCGTCCTTACGGTATACTCAGCCCACTCGCGACTGGTGGTGGTCGCGTGGTAGCGAAGCGCCGTTACGGCGTACAGCTGGCGATTTGTTATTATTTATATCTAGCTAAGGGAATTACGCTGCTAGCTCAGGTGCGATCAGTTTTCGACCTCGAGGTTCATTCCCTTTCGGACTTCAGAATTCGAATGGACGTTGGAATCCAAAGGTTGTCTATGTGGCGAATTGAAATGGTTGCTGATCGGAAGTTACTTCATCTTGTTGGATAGTCAGTACCAGTTAATATTTCATTTTAGGTTTATAATGCTGCTTCGCATTAACTGAAAGAAGTGAGGAGGAGATGACTTCATGGATGCACTAGTAGCGGTCACCGCTGTGCGTGGCGCAATGCGTGCTGAAAACTAGAAAGGTACAAAGCCACTGTGGTGCCACAGCCCAATCGACAATCCTGGACTGACGTGTGCCGATGTAACCAGCGGAGAAGAATTTGCGTTCATACCTAGGCGGTGGGAAGTTGATGAGTTTGGATGGCGCAGCAGCTATATGTCTTGATGTTGAAACAAGTAAATATAGCTTCCGTCTTGGACAAATGATACAGAGTTATTGCTCCTATCAGCTACTGTGGTTGCACGTGCTACCGTCAGGTTTAGATATGTTGAACAAGATTATCCCATGACTTAGGTAGTGTAAGGTGTGCGGCAACACGGTGTTGATTTACCAAACGAATGCAAAATAACATGACACAAATCTCTCGGTCGTATTTACAGTGTTGAGTGCAAGTGAATATGAATCTTAAACATGAGTAAGTTGCACTTTGGGAGTGGTTTCTTATTGGCAAGTGCTAACAGCTTATGGATTCAGAGCCACTCTAAGAAAAATTAGGGCACTACAAGAGATACCACTTAAAACTACTAAAAGACTCTTCACATTATAAATAGCATTACAAATTGTGTGAATTGTTTCTTGGCTTGCTATGATAATCTTAGAATGTCGTCAGATAGCTAACACACCAGGGAGAAAAGTGAAGTTAGTGAGGAGAAAAAAGGAGCCAGAGTTACAATACTTAATCATTAAACTAGCAACACGACTGTATTTGTATAACAATGAGATGTATATTTGCAAAACCTACGACTCAAAACTACCTGAAACAAAGACATCCTAAAACAAATCATTATACATGTTACTCGAGCCATTGGATTACTATTGTTGAGCGTGACGTGGTTGAGTGGTGCGGTAGGTCGCGGAAGCACGATAGTGGTTATCCCACCAGACCCTTAAGCGAAAATTTTTATTATAGGTCACGCGGACAGTGTGCTACCAACCTCAACACTTCTCAAACGTTATGTCTGAAATTCCATTCTGCTGATATGAACAATGAACAATGATATATTACAGGTGAAAAACATGCCAGCCCACCGACTCCCTTGACGTGTGTTGTTTGCTCACCGGGGATGTGGGTGGAAGTAGAGGAGAGGTGGCCAAGCGATGACTTGGTCCACGGGAATAAGTCCCCCACTTCGGAGCTAGCCTCGGTTGGAGCTTCACGGCTGCCTGGTTGGGGTCCAAAAGACGGTGAACATGTTTGGCTGGATACACTTGCTGACATGGCAAGGAGCCGACCTCAGTGGCGTTCCTGCTGTGAGTTTCTTTGTCCCTCCCCATCCCTTTTAGCCTCCCCCTCCATCTACGATCTCATTTCGTAGGGTAAAAGATAATATTTTTTTCCAAGTTGCTCGCGGACCTAGGAGCCATAGTGGTCAGGGCGTCAACCTTTGAACACTATACCTCGAGGTCCACCCCAGCTCAGGGTATCTCCATCTGATGAGGCCAAAAGAGGACGAAACCGGTCATGGGGTCTCAGGGTTGGGAGGAGCAACACCGAACCACCAATAATATTTTTTTCTTTTTGCCTAGTAGCTGGCTGGTAGCTTACCGGAACGATGCCTATCCATTGCTGGTAGCTCAGCTGGCATGCAACTGTCGTATTTATTTTTTCATTATGTATTGTATGTATGTATGTATTTCCTTTATGTATTGCGGTACAATAGCGGAGGTGTTTCACCACCTCTAGCTGACATGTACAATGATGATGATGATGACAGGTGAAAAAGTGCTTGCTTTATAAGTCCCGTAGGATGCTTGAAATAAAAGCAAACATAAGCGTAAATCGTCAAATTAAGCGGCTAGCGACTCAGATACCCTGCTTCATTAAAATGGTTTAGAATGCATATGGAATTGTTACTGCAGGGTAATATGGGGAAGTAATATGGGGTAGATATGTCTTAAGAACAAAAGAAACGAAAATGCTCATTCGTGCGCCGCTTTCTTGGACTGATGAATGCAGTTGTAGTATATCCGAACGATATTCCACAGCAGCAGCGTGTAAGTCGTAAAGCACAAAGCTGAGAATGAGCACCGTTTGTTCGCGTTTGGTTGACGTAGACATCACTGATTATATAGCGTAATGTAAGTGGATAAGCGAATCATCCAGACGTCTTTTAAATACTGTTAGCGTGGGAAAAGAAACAACGTACGTGAGAGGAGCCTTCCAGTGTTGGCACACACGAAGGGAAAAGAAATTCCGGCGGCATTCCAACCGGCTGTATTGTGTGGCCAGCTTTAGCTGGTGTCCTCTGAGTGTTGTATTGCTATTCAGCTTTAGTAGGTGACGACAAGAATGGTTTGGATTCTTCAGGATCATATAAGTAATTATCAAGTCGCCACGCAGACGTCGATATTGTCCACTGTAGACCCCGAGGGTTTTCAGCCTCAATCCGTAAGGGAGATGAAACAGGCCCTTTACGTTCTTGATCGCCCTTCGTTGTGGCAGTTCAAGAGCGGTAAGGTCTTGCTTTTGCCATGGCTGCCAGGCGTGGATGGCGTACTCAGAATGAAGCCGAATGTAGGCGTTGAGCATCTGAGAAAAGATGGAAAGATCGAAGCGCCCGAATGCCCTCTGCAAAAGGCCAAGGTGTTGGTTAGCTTTTTGGAAGCTTTCTCGGCCTGACGGGAACAGCCCAGATTTTCCTGCACTATCACGCCTAGATCGCATTCCGTTGGAGTGCGCTGCACTATTTGATCCCCCAGTCTGTATTCGCAAGTGGCTTTATGGCGTATGCGTAACACCTTGCACTTTGTGGCGGTGAACTGAAGTAGGTTCTGAGTCGACCATTCGTAGACCCTGTCAAGATCATCTTGAAGTGCTGCATTGTCGCTGGTTGTTCTAATGGTGCCCATATCTTGAGGTCATCAGCGAAGAGTAAGGAGTTGTAGGTGACCACTGTCTTAAGGTCGTTTAGGTAAATCAGGAATAGTCGTGGACCAAGTACTGAATCAGGGGGCAGTCCGCAATTAACGTCGATTGGGTCAGAGATGACGCTGTGCACACTTCGATTCAGATGTCGTTGAAGCAAGACGTTACCTATCCAACCGAAGATTGGGTCACCAATTCTATAGCACTACAGCTTATGAAGGAGGATACGGTGGTTCAGGCGGTCAAAGGCCTTTGAAAAGTCCAGATATACTGCATCAACACCTACGCCGCTGTCGACGGTCTCAGTCCAACTGGATTTAGCAAGTAGCAAGTTTGAAGTGCAAGATCGGTTCTTGCGAAATACGTGTTGTTCTAGTGCTATGAAATTACGTTCTTCCAAGTAGTTTATGGGCGCCTCGGCAACAATTGCTTGCATAATTTTGGAGAGCACCGGAAGTAGTGTAATCGGGTGATAGTTGGCCGGATCTGTACGACTTGCCCCCTTATGGATGG